ATGAAGATGACCACGCTTTTGGTGCAATACTGCCTATTCAGGACAGTTATAGTCCTGCATTGTCCGGTCGCAAGGCGACTTGCCAGTTGTCTCAAATGGAAATATCGCACGAAAATTCTTCTCAGTGGAGCACGCAGCCACGCCCAATCTATCTCGGGGATACGGAGGGTATTGATAGGGAGCGCCATAGAGTGGGGTAAGAGTGCCTATTAAGAGCGCCCTAATCTACCCCTCTCTCTCCCTTTAGCCTTAGTTTCGGGCTCCAATCGTTATCACAAAGTTACTAAGTATGGCTAAAACTTAGACTTCAGACGGGGCTTGAACCTGCACTGGATAACCCACTCGTCCGATTAGAGTTACGTGTGGGTTTAAATCCAGCCTATGGTCATTTTTGCTCAGAAATCAGCGTTCGTCTGGGGAAGAAGTACCTCCTTCAGTGTTCTACATTCCTTGAAACTTTACTGCTAGTTTGTGGCATAGTTGACGCTAGTAATACGGCTGAGACATGGGTAGAGACCCCTTCCTACCACCCCTTTTTAAGTTCGCTTCCTACTCAAGACAATAAAGAGGAAAGGTGCAGCAAAAGGAGGTTAGAACGAATATTCGTCTCCGCCCATACAATCCGCGTGGATCTTCAGGTAACTCACTCAGATAACTGATCTGTCCCCCCTATGTCTCAGTGTCTACTGAATAGGTTGAAGATTTAGACCATGCCATGTATTTAAATGTACAGCTTTTTTCACTGATTGTATTCAGATTTCTCCGCCGAATGATCACATTTTACTCACTCAAGACAACGACATGCCGTGGTGGGTGAGGTGAGTGCCTGATTGAAAGAAACTTGCGTCCTAAACAAAACATGCCTTTGCAATAAAGTTACCTCTTTCGTTTTAGAGTAACGGACCGGTTAGAAATAGTGCGGGTATCCAATAAACTTTTAGAGGTCATTAGATGACTTCATCTGCTTATACACTCCTCATCCCTGAGACGGAGTAGGCGTGGCTTTTGAGCATGGCATAGGACGGGTTTCTCGTGGGATACTTCAATTTGAAACAACTGCTATCTTGTTCTGTGTTAGATGTAGACATGATTACGGTCTCATTCCAAAAGAGGAATATCTCAGCGAAACCTGGGGTCGCTGCTGCTTTTAGAATTCGTACGCAGCCACGGCCAACGATCTAAGGGTTCGAGTATACTGCGCGAGTCTGCGCTTCAGAGGTTGTATAGCTCGGTAGAACCTATGCAATGGCTGCGGAGTGTGATGAATTACATCGAGTCAGGGGCCATGTAGAGCACTCCTAGTAGTTGATTAGCCAGACGCACAGGCGCGTACAGGGACCTAATTGATTTGAGCTGCAGTTTTACGGATTTCAGATATCAGCCAGCCGGTGAGTTACAAACTTATCTCGAGAAGTGGAACCGAAGCCAGTTCAAGGACATGGTGGAACGATGCAACAAGGTTGGAGTTAGGTGAGACATTTTTGCCCTTGAGAAGGGGTGGGCAGGGAGTTGGGGGGGGGGGGGGGCTGCTTCAATACACAGCGATTCGGCATTCTGTGGTCTGCAAGACTTTCGGGCAATGAGATGGTTGGACCAAACCTGGCTAAGATTTAATGAGACGCGCCAACTAAGTTGTCTCGAATGGGTCCCGTGGACAGAATTGATTCATTCAATAGCTTACAGTGACCGATTTCACTTAAGTACCCCCCACCCCCGCCATTGATGTGAGCAGAAGTTGTTTTGAAAATAATAAGTGCTTTTCAGAGCCGAAGTTTGCGCCCCGAAGTCTGATTTTCCATTTTTTTCAGGATCATCGTTGACGTTGTCATGAATCACATGGTTGGAGTAGGCCAGAAATCTGGCGTTAATGGTCGTAGTTCCAGTGCTGGCAGTACATATGATGGAACAGACGGAGTTGAATCATTCCCCGACGTGAGTTCCGTCAATAAATTCATATTTTTCGTGGTACTTACAAAATGTAGTCTACCCTAGGTACCTTATACGTCTGCCCATTTCAACGATTTCCGATGCCATGGCGACATTCAAAACAGCGACTATCAGAACAGCGCCGAACATGTGAGTGGTTGGCTTTGTAGGTGCTATTCACCTTTATTGCTCCGATTTTCCAGAATCAGGTCCTTTTTGAGCGAATTTTTTCTCGAAGGGCAGATTTTGCTAAAAGTTGTCATCAAGGGCAGTTTAACCTTTCTAAATACGGTGATCACAACCGTTTTGCCCGAAGGTGGTGAAGTTCACGGTACACCCACTGGTGTCTCTACGGCACGTTGGTGCCGCCAGGCGGGTTCGTGCGAAGCGGATGCGATTCTGGTGTTCAGGAAGTCAAACCACACTTGGGAACTGATTCCTAGCCAAATCCACTCTCAGAGAAAGAAACCATGAATAATTGATATGATTTCGTATGATTAAGGTAGTCAAGGGCGAGTATTGCAGCTGTTTATTTATAGGCCCTTTCCACGCTAGTTGCGTGGGCGGGGCGAGGCCTACGGTTGTGCAATCCTCGTTCAGTGGCCCTTAACGCTGTAGGACAAATAAAGCATAGTGGTAAGCGCGGCCATCGGGCAATGAGCCTTCAAATTTTAATTGGGGTAGGTTGGTGAAACCTCTCTATTTGACTACTGAAATGAGTACAAGATGCCAAGCTACATGCAAAAGACTTACCTCCAGACCGGCCTCGAACCAGCACCTAGCGCTTTCCGGGCGTGTGCGCTATCCGCTACACCACCTGGGACGCTCCTTACTTTCTCAGCTCAATGGGTTTTTTAACAAGTTGCTGAGGAATCCTAAAGCTGGAGAAAACTTAAACCGACCAGCCTCAACACGCCGTCTGAAACGCATTGGAACCAGGATTCTTGAATCCAGCGAGTTGCAGACGCATCATTCCTGGACCCATCAGCCAAATTTTTTTATCAGCTTTGCCCCCTCCATCCCCCTTCTCCGTCCGTATAGGTAATCGTGCACGTCTCTTTTCATACGGTAGAAAATTCACTTTAATACAGGTGAAAAACTGCCGTCTTACTGGACTGCTGGATTTGAATCAGGGCGATGCCACGGTACGATCCAAGATAGTCGCCTATCTCAATAAGCTGATTGATTACGGTGTAGCAGGTTTCAGGTGAGAAAATATTTTCTATGAATTCTTCAAGTACATAAGTACCTGAGATTGGGCTGTAAACTGTGCCAAATGTCTTCGCAAAAAACAACAGTGGACCTCGAGTTCATTCATATGTTTGAAAACAAAGCACATCGCCACAGCCCATATCAAGGGGCTTGGAGGGGGTGGGCCCACGGATGTAGTTGTGGGCATCGCGGCCGTGGTGTGCTGATGAAACTTTCCGATACAGGGTAAGAAGGCAGGGGCGTCAACAGTGCAAGTGAGACGTCCGAGAGGCTCTGCCATCTTTGCTTTACACCGAGAACACTCTCAAATACTGCCCTCAAAACTAGGTTCGTGGACACGCCCACTCCCGGCTCCTACCTGATTATGAGGAAGCTTGGAGGCAGTGAGCAGGATGGCTGGTTGTCGCTAGCGTTGTTGGTGGAAGGGCTGACTAGGGTCTGGCCAAACCCCCTCTGGCAGCCCACCAACGGCGCTGGCAACAACCGCTCGCCTCCGGCCATCGTGCCCGCTGCCTTCAAGATGGTATTGAAAAGCGTTGACCTCGGAGTTAGCGCGTTTTCTTACAGGTGTGATGCATCAAAGCACATGTGGCCAGGTGATATTGGAGCGATTCTCAATGCGACGAAGAACTTGCGAGAAGATGTGAGTTGCGTCGGATCTGCTACTACAATAGAACACACATTTTAGATTGCTGAATTGGTGCTGTTCGGCTGCTGAGGGGCTGCACTTCCTCTGGTTTCTTTTGTTGGTTCCTGTTAAATTACAAGTCAGACCTCAGTAAGACCTGCAAACTCTTGTTAAGTTTGAGCGAAGCCCCGGCATAGCTTTAGAGAGATCTGCATGTGTCCACGTTAGGCATCGGTATTGATCGATGGGAGTTAGCCAGAATGCCCCCACCAAACCGAACTGCGCCAGAAAAATAGATTTTTGAGCTATTCTGACGAGCATCTCACAAGAAGTTTGTCCTCCTCTGTATACTCATCGCTCTACCATTTCATCAGAGTTCA